GGATATCGTTAATGCATGTGAGACTAGTGTGTGTTGGATGTTTGACTTAGTCTCATAGTCAATGACGGTGTGTTCGCATCCGCACATGGGCAGATATTATCTAGAGATAATAGGATGCCGGACTGACCCATCCTAAAGATGTTGCTTGAACTTTTAGTTCATGCTCTAAGCATCTTTAGCGCGACCACGGGTGTAACTATCCTTCGACTTGAAGTATTACGTTTTCTGCATATGTGAACCCGCATGCTTTGATGCATTGTCCTAAGCCATATGAAATAAGGATGGTATACAGGCTTTGTTTTGGGTATGCCGCAGCGCGTATTCAGAAACGTAAATTACGTACATAGGATTTGTCACTACTCTTTTTAAAAGAGATTAATGTCTTATGGGGCCCACTGATAAGTTATGACTAAGGAAATTGCATGGCCATGCTGAGATGCTTTTATGACGTCTGTTCCTATTAGTCAAATTTGATAAATCAGTGAATGACTTAATGGATACAAGTTGGATTTTATTAATCCCTTGCATTAAGTTTAGACATTGAGACAAAGGGATACAGTTACACGGAGTCTTAGTCGTGGAAAGGTTTTGACGGTGCAAACGTCTTAACTTATAATCTGGGGGCAATAATGTGTTGCTAGATACCGCTTATTGCTTATAGTATTGGTGCAGAGCCAATACTTTGGCCAGTTTTATAAGTGCCTATACGGGTCACACACTTTGGACAATTTAAGGAGTAGGATTAAACAATGGGATAATAAGTAATTTGTATATTTGTAGAAAATAGTAAAATAAAATATTTTGGAATATAATATTATATATATAAATATTCGGTTATATATATTATATATATGTACCGATTAATGTATATATATTATATGTTAAATATTTTATTTTGGTTTGTCATTTTAATTATGAAAATAATTATTTTGACATAAACTATTTAAAGTATATTTGTATACTTGTTTAAAAATGATATTGGTATTTTTATTTGATTTAAAATTAATTTTATATTAATTTTTGGTGTCAAATAAAATACACTTTGAACATTTCAGTGGAGAAGAATTACAAGTATCCTTCTCACTTTTTCAAATCAATTGGTCGGCCATGATATCTTTTAAAGGAACAAAAATTTTCTTGATTGATAATTGAGTGGAGCTAACTATTTTGTCATTTTGTTAATGACAAAGTCAAATTCATAATCACTTTGGAATTTTTTTTTCTTCTTTGTATTGATTGCACGTCACTTTAAAAAAAATTGATATATGAGAAGATTATCATCTTTGCATATGAAGTGTGGTTTTCGGCCATAATATTTTCTAGTGAGATAAAATATTATTTTGGTTCCACATATATCATTTTGTGTATAGAAAATATCTATAATATTTTCTAAATATTATTGGAAATATTTTCTATAGAAATATACAAGATTATTATTATCCC